TTTGTCTTTTCCACTTTATTTTATTCACAATTGTTTATTAAGTAAGGAACATGTAAAAAAGTAATGTGATGTGATGCTTTTTTATTAAAAGTAATTTTTTTAATGTAGTGGATTGATCTGGGATTGAATTTAAAACTGTTATCAATGATTAATCCCAGACATTTAGCCTCAAGCACACAGTTAATTCGCAAATTATTCCTATGAATATTCAAAATAGGTTTAATAATACTCCTCATATCTCCAAGACATATCCACTTTAATTTTATATCAGTTTTATACAGGGTGAGTTTTTTTCCATGTTTAGTATGTATAGAGATCTTGAAAACTAGCGGAGATAACGAGACGATTAAATAGGAAAAGATTTGCTGTTTCATGAACTCAATTTAATGAGCTTTTTGTTTTTCGGATAAAATGCATGGCTAACTAGATATTTCGAAAAAACCGTTTTTTTGTTATATCGTTCGATATCTATGTGTAAAATGTGAAAAGGAAACATTTTTAGGGTATTACATATTTTATAAAGCAGTCTAACTGTTTTTTTTTATTTAAGCAATAATTTTTGAGTTATGACACAAACTTGTAATTTTTTTAATGGAAACCATAGTTGACCATGACTTTATGAAAAAGGCGTTTTCTCAACGATTCTAATGATATAACACTTGACATGGATATTTTTATTAATAAACAAGTTATAGACATTTATTCTTTTAATTGGCAAACTGTTCAGGTAGTACGCTATGGAAACAATTGATAGATACGTTTGGTTATGACAACTTAAGGCAGATTTTTTAAAAAATCTACACAAACTGAACAGGACACAAATTGAAACAATAAAAATGGCGCTATAATTGATAAATGGTTCTACTTTCTAATATATATCTGGATTGAAAATATGTCATTAAGTGCGAGGGATATTGTGATCGATTGAGTCATGTTAGGGTTGACTAAGAGACACTGAGAAGAATTGAGCATCATTTAAAATTATTATTAATTAATGATAGCAATCAATTTGCAAATAGAAGAAAAGTTAATAACAGATATACCTCGTTCCTCCACCAAAGTCACCATAGAACGTAAAACTTCAAATAAAACAGGCACAGTTTTTGTTTTAAATACATTTCTTCACTAAATATCAAAAAGTGAGAATTTTGTAACCTATATTTTCTCAAGGATTAATAAAGTATGGAATACCAGGATTGCGATGATTACTATTATTATTGCAACGGACTGGAAATTACTGCTACACTGCATGCTTAACAAAGTATTTTGCACGCTTAGTCGTGGAATGTCCGTTTCCGTTTCCTCAATAGAAAACAATGTACTATAATTCGGCCTTTTTATAGTCATCCCAAGAATTTCATTTAAACGTTTCAACGGCATTATTACGGTTGCGTTCGAACAAACGTATGTTCAATTTAAGATCTTTCTGTTCTTGTGTATTAATTCATTTTTAAGATGAAACCTACAACGTAGTTGTGACGTCACAAATAATGTTATGATTTAAATATATTTATGTATTCTTCAAGTATTTGAGAATTCCAAGAATTCTTTTACGTGTAATATAAGTTGGTATATGTTCATACCAAATTAAAAATAGTTCATACCAAATATATACAGGGTGTCTCAGCGAGACCGGTCATTAGACGTTTCTGGGGTTCTGGCCAAAATAAAAGTTTGAGAATTCAGACTTAAGTATCAATTGCGTTCTCTTTGATTAAAATATTTCACTCGATTTTTGGGATATCAATTTATGATTCAGAACATGCTTAAGCAACATGATGGAGTATGTTTTGGTGTCGAGAACGGCTGTCTAGAACGTTTGGTCACTTTACTATGGCACGTTTACTTTTCGAAATATGGAAGTACCATAACTTAATTTTTTTAAATGGCACCCCCCATATTTTATTACTTAGTCGTCTTCGGCGTCTCATTCTACATCTTTTATATCCGATATGTCCCATACCTAATATTAATAGTTTGGGAGATAATTAGGGTTTTTTGAAAAATGCACACATATCATATGGATATTTAGCCTAGTTTGCCATAATTTTTTTGAACAAATGTCTGCTGGAGCAGATTTTTCTAGAAAAATTCGAATAACTCGAGAACGGTTGAATTAAATTGCAAAAAGTAAGCTTATTCATAAGCCTTGAAAATAGACAAATCCAAAACACAAGGGGTGTTCTATTTAAAAAAATAAAATAGGTGGCGATTTCCGGTATAACCGGAAGTGTTAGAAATCTGAAAATATTTTAATCGAAGAGAACCAATTTGGTTCAACATGATATTGCTTTGAAAGAAGAAAGGATTATCAGAACCAAACCGTATTCACAATCTCCGAGAGTACGAGAAATCATAGATGAAGAAATAGATAAAATGCTTAACTTAGGCGTAATTAAACCAAGTGACAGTCCATATTCGTCGCCGATGATTATAATAGAAATAGAAGGTAAAGAACCAAGACCAGTAATAGATTATCGGGCTTTAAATGCTATTTCCATACCTCAACAACACCCAATACCTAACATAGAAGCTTGTGTGGAACGGTGTAGTAACGCAAAATATTTAAGTCTTATAGATGTTGTACGAGCTTACTGGCAAATTGGAATGACTGAGCGTGCAAGTAAATATGCAGCTTTTATAACTCATCGAGGAGTATTTGAACCAGTAACTTTGCCATTCGGACTTCAATCCGCTCCATTTTCTTTTCAAAGATTAATGGATAAAATTTTGGAAGGTTATAACGAATTTGCCGAACCTTATTTAGATGATATAGCAATACATTCAATGACATGGAAAGATCATTTGAAACATTTGCGACTTGTGTTTACAGCTATGCATAAGGCAGGTCTTACAATAAAGGCAAAGAAATGTGAGTGGGGAAAAGCTCAAGTTGTTTATCTAGGACATAAAATAGGACAAGGTTATAGAACTCCATCTGAAGCAAAAGTAGCTGCAATAAAAGAATTTCGACGACCGGTAACAAAAAAAGATATTAGAATCTTTTTAGGGATAACTGGATATTATAACCATTACATACCAAATTATGCAGAAATTGTTAGTCCTTTAACAGACGCTTTACGAAAAGGAGCCAAAAACAAGGTTGAATGGGATGAACAGAAGGAAAACGCATTTAATAATTTAAAACAAGAATTAACTAGTAGTAAAGTGTTAAAAGCTCCCAATTATAAAAGAAAATTTATAGTACAAACTGATTGTTCAAAACGAGGAATGGGAGTTACTTTATCCCAACGTGATGACGACAATAAAGAATACCCTGTACTGTACTTAAGCAAAAAGCTAACTGAGAGAGAACAAGCTTACAGTGCAAGTGAGTTAGAATGTGCTGCATTAGTTTGGGCAGTGAATAAATTAAAACCGTATCTATATTTAACTCATTTTATTATTGAAACAGATCATTGTCCTCTGACTTGGTTAAAACAAATGAGTAATAAAAACGCTAGACTATTAAGATGGGCGCTTTCTTTACAAACGTTAGATTTTACGGTAGTTTATAAGCCTGGAAAAATGTGTGGCAACGTCAATTCGTTATCTCGTTATAATGTTGAGATGTAAGAGTTATTGTTTTGTGACTTAAATATTAGACGAATTTATCATGTTATTATTTGCCCAATGTTTTAATTAAGAGACCATAAAACCTTGAGTTGGGCAAATGCTTACTTGTGATGAGAATCAGCCTATTGGATGTCAGAAAAGTAGATTTCTACCATCAAAAGACTGATTTCACCGGGCGCAAGTTGTTCTGAATCAAAATATTAAAAAAAAAACTAATTATAAAAAGTGGGCTACGACTACTGTATTTTTATAATAAAAAAAATGATTAACGAAAAATATAAATAATATGAAAAAGTCAATATAAGATTGTAATTAATAAAATTGTTAATAAACATTATCATATTGAAGAAGTCGTATAATTTTCTGATAATTAACATCGACGAGAAAAAGAGTCTTAATAACTGGTCTTAATTATCTAATGATAATATAATACTTAAATCTAAATTCTCAAATTTTTGTTTTGGCCAGAACCCCAAAAACGTCTAATGATCGGTCTCGCTGAGACATACCTGTGACATACAGGGTATGTCACAGGTAAAGCGTGCATTTCAGTTAATATACACATTAGCCAGTGTATACATTTACTAGTGAATGTGTACATAAACTAGACAGTGTATATATTTGCTAACAGATGTTAGTAAAAGTTATAACAAACAAAATTTACGGTATAATTTTTTTAATGGAAAGGATTGCATGTGCTGCAAGTAGTAAGTAAGTAAGTATAGTAGTAACTATTTTTTGGGTTGGGTTGGGTATCGTTATGTAATATACTAGTATACATACTTTAAGCTTTAACTGGGCGTCATTAGTAATCATTAGTAACATCAACTAGTAAAAGTTGACATTTCGTATTTTATATGCACATTAACTAGATAAATTAGTTAATGTATGCATTGACTAGACAATGTGTACATTCACGGAATGAATGCTTTAACTGTAACATATACAAAGTGTTTCTGTAAGTCGTGACATAATATTATTCATAAATACTAGAGTTAAAATGATATGGACCAAAGTTAAAAAATGTTAAGACATTTTCAATATCTATAGATTCTGTATAACAACCAACCCAAAATATACCCCCAGGTTAAACGAGGAAAACAAAACAAGATGTCATTCTGTTATCGCAATAACTCTGGATCCCATGGACATCATACCTATCCCTTTACATCCTACCCATAACCACAAAAATCCACCCCCCCCTCCCTATTTTTTAAAGTGGCTTTAATAATTATTTCAAGAATCAATATAATAACCGTTACTAATATCAAAATATGAATCGACATCGAATCCCACTATATTACCAAACAGGAAAAATAAAATATCCAACAAACAAATAACATGTAACCTCAAAATTAACTTTGAAAACGAATTCCATGACACATCATGTATATAAACAATTTAATCCTCTTCAATCATAATTAATAAATATCATCTATATAGTTTAACAATAGAAATAAACAAGGAATTACCAAATGAATCAAGCTAAAGTATATTTTTGTAACAAATTGACGTAAGTTTTATTATATTAATATAAAAGTTCACATTAGCATGCTAATTTAAGATTTACTTAAGAAAATTTATATCAATGTAGGTAACTCTCCTGAAGATGCTATGTAAATATAGCGAAACCGGTTGAAAAAAAACAATAAATAAAATCCATTAAAGTGCAAAAAACGAAGTTTTAATTTATACACATAAAATGGAAAGAAAATCACCTAAAAATATTTTCAATATGGTTTGTCTTAGAAAGATAAAATTTGGCGAACAATGCAATGTTATCATGAAAAATCGTTTAATATCACTGTAAGATCACTACTAAGACAAAATATTGAAATATGTCTTAACTTTGAAAGCCCATATCTTAGCCATTTATGGAATTAGACCAAAAATTTGTACACGAATCATCAACATTTTAACTCTAGTATTTGTGATTAAAATTATGCCATGACTTATAGGAACACCTTGAATGTATGTAATTTGTATGATATGGTGTATACCCAACTTGAAACGACACGGTCCTGCGCACCAATTTTTCCGGTACGCGGCCGCGGCGTAGTAGATCGGTCGTCGCCTCGCGGGCAGCTTTCTCTTTGACGACCGCACCTCTCATTCATGTTTTTATTTCGTTTATTATTGGTTTACAACGCCCCTTAGTTCTGTGCTCGCGTATTTTAAATGCTTTCAGCTTAACAACGACGCAATTTCTTTCCCCCCATAAAAATCACCCCTTACATACAAAGTATAGAACATCCGCTTTCTAAATCGAAATTACGAACAAAATCTAACGTTGATGGATGACGCACAATCGATTTATAAATGTTTGCCGTAACAGTTCCAAGTACGATTGTATTGTTTTAATCGTTATTGTACGAAACTGTAAAAACAAAAAACAAACATTTTTTCTTCGAAAATGTATAACTATGGAGATTGATAAAAAAAATGTAATCAAAAATAAGTATTAAAAAGGGTGGACAGGAAATCTATTAATAACCGAGGCGGCGTCCCGGCGCATCCAGACGGAGCGGAGCAGAGGACGGGACCTAGCCGGGACTGCGTCGGGACCGGATGTCTACATCCCGCGACTGGCGCTCCTTCTTCTCGCGGACCCGCGCCGGCACCGCGCCCTCGGCCCCGGAGCCCCTCCGTTGTACAGTGAACCCGGGGCCGGTCCTCTTGAATCGCCGCGCACGGGCGGGGCGTCGTGGGGCCGAGCGGGGCTTGTTGTGTTTGTAAACAGACCGGGTACGTATACGCTCTCACGTTTGTGGTGTACGCTAAGTGCAACCGTGTAAGTTCAAGGACGCAGTCAGCGACGAGCCGAGGTCGAAAACCAGTGGCGTCGCTTACAAAGAAACTTACTACAAACCGAACTTAACCTTTTCTTTCCAAATTATTTAAATCCAATAGATTGTTTTAATTCCAGTATAAAAATGTATCGAAACCATTTAGAATAAGAAAATCAGGAAAAGTAAGAAAGCAGTACTTTCCCAAAGATGGAAGTGGCGGGACGAAGGGCGAATGCGGCGTGTTGTTTACAAGGCGAGGTTGTTTACATCGGCGTCTATGACCGAGCAACGTCGGCGCGGAGCGATCGTTCTTGGACGCTACACAAGAATATCAGAAATGGAGTGGGACTGAACGCTGGATGAATGTCGGCTTCAGACCATTTTGCAAACTCTGTTATTACCGATTCGTTCGTACAAGGTTAAAAAGGAATCAAATCGACTACAACATTAAAGAAATAACAACGAATTTAAGCATTCCACCTTCACGTTTTCTACTCAACAATTACCTTACGCCGCGATCATCATCTCGCGCTTCGCAGTCAAATCATCAATCAAGCATCTATTTATCAGCATCGTCGCGGTACACATCGTAAAATCGAGGTGGGGCCACAGTCTGAACCTGACCGATTCATAACCGACCTCCCGTGGTCCTCCTTTCATCTCGACCACCATCCGACGAGAAAGGAATTCGAACCCTTTCCTGTCCGAAATAACGCCTGTATCGGCGGCGGCGGCGAAGAAGACGGCATCGGCGTTAATTGGGGTCGGAACCGTTGAAAGTGGAGCGGAGTGATGGTGGCGGCGGTGACGCGGGGGACGGCCAGGTTTGGGCCACCTAAGTGTGCGGGGATCGAGAAGCAGCCATTGACCGCTCCGCTCCGCTCCTTCTTGGCGGCCCCACGGACCATTGGCGTGCAGAGTACGGAGAGGCGGTGGAGGGACGTGCAGTGGGCACGCTGTGGAATGCGAAGAATGCGTGCCTAGGTCAACGTTTAAACATTCTATATACAGTTAAAACTAAGGTTCATAGCTGCTACGCGACGACGATTGCCGTTTTTCCGATGCGTCGCGTCGTTAAATGGACCCGGTTTTATTTTATTGCGTAACGCATACCGCGTCCAGGTTCGCGAATGGAAAAACCTCAAATTAAGCGTTCGACGAAGGACGTGTGGTGCTCGTTCCTTATAGAACCGTTTTTATCCACAATCTTTCAAAAGGCAGTTTAATTGGGTTCGATTCCGTTTTTCCACATAAAATAAAATTGTAATGTTTCCAATTAAAATTACATTCCACAAAAGTTCAAATACTCACAACACAGAAACTAATTGTTTCGAATTCGAATTTTATTCATCATGAATGCGCTCAAATTATCGAAATTCAGTTTGTCACCCTTATATCTAAAAATAAATGGCGCTTCCGCAGCACCCCAAAGATTTTCCGGCAAACATGTGTGTATCGCGACTTGTTCGCTCTTCTCCTCCTATTTTTAAAGTGTCTCCTGCTATATTTAGACGTCAGAGACAAACGACAGAATAAATGGCGTCGGAAAACCAACGGTGGACGGCAGTAACCGCCGCCGCGACGCATTCGCTCTCGGTGAATCACCGTTATAAAAAATTCGTCGCGACGATTGACGAAATTGGCGTCTCCCGTTATTCTACTTTTTATTTTAATCTTTTTGTATTTCGAACAAGTACCATTTCAAAAAAATCTTGTCCGTCTAGAGGCGTCGCGACGACGTTTCAGGTCGACGAACCGAACCGATTTTCAAATGTTCAGACGTATTATTTTAGAACAATTTCAAGGTCGAAAAAGTTTTAAAATGATATAATACATGTTTTAATAAAGGGACAGAATTTATTTAAAAATAAATGAATATTTGATAGTTGAGGTCGGTTAATAACTTTGGATTCCAATGAAGGTGAAAAAGTTAATGGAGACCCTGAAAGTTAAAGCGTCGACCGACGTCAAAAGTCGACTCCCCAGCACCTATTTATATCCTTGTTATGACTGGGAGAGCCCCCCAGCGAACGTTGAGTACTGCTCCTGATCGTCAGAGACGTTCCGTCGATCCCGATTTTCCTAGCCGGGAGCCTTTTTTCAACCCCGAAAATGCAGGTAGAAAGAACGCGGTTTCTCTCGTAGGGGAATTTGTGTCTCGTTCGCCTTCTGACGGTCGTGAGCCGACGATACCGTTATAATTTTGCCATCTGCCGCGAATGGGAAGTACGTACGGCGACGAAACGGAGATCTGGAAGAGCCCGAGAGAGAATTGGGCGAGAAGAGGCGCGGACTGCAGCTGGTTGCTGCTTCTTCTTCTTCTTCCTTTAGTGTTTTTTTCGCGTCGCGTGAAAGGGACAGCTGTTATCTAACTCTTCGATAGAAAAAGAAACCGGTAATGGTGTAGTCTGGTACCGGAAGTAGTAATAAAAATGAGGTTTAAATTAACACCTTCGTTGCGAGGGAAATTCTTTTCTTACAAAAAGGTGTTAACTAAGAAAGTTTTATGCAATGAGGAAAAAATTATCAAAATTTTCGGTTAACGACAGTAACTGTTGGTTGGAATCGAGATTGTACGTCGACTCCAGGTGCAAAATCGCCAGGTTCTGGCCGTGCCGCGAGGTCTAAATCCGAAGCAAAGCAGCCAGCAGCCGCAGTGGAAGAAGAAGAGTCCTGGGCACGAGCCATCTGCCGTCCGATTTCGGGAGCAGGTGCTGCGCCTTCCTGGTCCCGTGCCGGGTTTTCGGGCAGGTGCCTCCTTATTCGTCCGTATTCACCGATGATGCAGTTGTACGGCGTCCGTCGCCGCCGTCATTATTTTCGACGATTCTCTGACGACAGCTGCGCGACGTCGAGATGGTACATATAACCCATTGTATTTTCGGGGCTATTTACCTTTGGCCTCCAGGTAGTACCCCGGAGGTTACAAGCTCCAATTTTTGAAGAATACAAGAGTAATCTCTTTTATCATCGCAATTTCAAAGGATCATAAAATATTATCGGAATTAACTACGGATAATTAACTGTGAAAATCTATCGGATCAAATCTAAGTTGTCTTAATTAGTTTTTCCAATTTAAGTACAAAAGTAATTAACTTTGAAGAAGAATAAGAAAGAGGGTGGTGTTGACCACGTGGCCTTTTCTTTCGAGTTGCAGCGATTAGATGGCTCCGCGATTGTGTGTGGGGCCGCGCAGCTGCCGGGGGCCCGCCCGCCCATCCGATGTGGTGACGCAGCGGCTCGTGCGTCCGTACTGCAGCTGCCGTACATCTGGCGCCTCTGCTGCTGCCGTTCGTTCTGCTAAAGATGCAGCGCATCGCATTGCAGAGCGTCGTTCAGCACGCGTTTGACTTTTGGACGCGGGGCGTCCATATTAACAATATATAGATAACAATAGCAAAGGTAATCCGGATAGCTATTCTTCGTACAGCTATCCGGTTTAAACTAAACCATTCAACATTAAATTTGGCACAAAACACACATAATTATTTTCTTTTCTATAATACCTGCCAAATTGTTGTAAATTTGGCAAAATTAACAGGGAGTTTTGTTTTATCATGTTTTAAAATAAATATGTCACACTGACGTTTGAGCTTTCGTTATTCAAAAAGAGAAGGTACATAAAAAATGTTGTGGGGTGTTTATTTGCCATTTATTTACCTAGAAAAGGTGTTTTGTTCTATTTAATTACTTTGTAGCACGTTTTTACAACAAATATGCACTTCGTTAAAATCGTATTTATCTAAAAATTTATTACTATTTTAACCTCAACTATTTAGTTACTGAAAATGTTACTAAAAATCAGGAAAACAACATAAATTTTATAAGGGTCCTAGATAATACCAACAGA